ATGGTTTAGCAATATGAAAATAAATAAATTGCTCTGACCCAGATCCCCAAACATGACAAACCCTCTGTATTTAAATCAATGGTTCCTTTATTAGGAGCACCAGCAGCCCCGGCAAAAAAAATTTCTCTCTCAACGCAGGCTAACCAATCTGTCTGGCAGGGAGATGAATAGTCGTCTGCCACATCTATTCATCTCTGCCCCCTGCCTTTTATCCCCAGAGGGTGGGGCTTTGCAAGTAGCGGTGGCTCTTCCTTCCCCAGGATCGACCCACAGATTTCCACTACTCTCCTCTCTGCCTTCTGTGCATCCATGCATCAGTCACTGGATCCAGCCATTCCTCCTGTTTCTCATCAGCCACCTCCAGACCTGGGGGCTGTTGACTCTCCATCTGAGGGCGGACGGACGGCCCAGGCCCCACCTCTCTCTCTCTCTCTCTGACAACTCCATTCCCTGTTCCCCCCCTTGGAGCTCCCAGGTTGCCCTGATGCTGATCCTGACACCAATGCCTCTTCCTCATCTGGTTTGGCTGCTGGAGGGGCCGGTGGCCAACAGGGCACAATATAAATATATGAGATATCTTTATACTCATGTTTTTCATCATACTAATTAAAGGGCTGAGAAATATCAAACAACAATTTTAACAGCAAATAATGGTTTCAACTATCCAAAAAAGTCGACAGTTTGGACAGTTGACACTATGATGTCAGTACATGCTAATGAATGTATTAACATGTATTAATGAATTTTTAGCGTGTATTAATGAATTATTTTTCTCCATTAGTAGTGTCTTACCATTTTATGACTTCTTTCAAGTCACTTTCCTTCATTCCTTTGATCGCACCATATATTTCAAAATGTTCCTGTAATGTGATTTCAGGCCAAAGTGGGTTTGTCTGTGGACAGTACCCCACAAACCTCATGGATTCATCCTCATTATCATCACCTGAATTAAAGTCTCCCATCAGCACCTGTAGATACACCATTGTTTTCAGATGATGATTCTACTTAATACACCAGAAGCATTTAAAAGTTATCATATGAACACCTTACTGAAATGGTAATAATAGGATATATTAGCTCAAGATTTCAGTTCTCTTTAACTAGTGTGGTATAGTAGTTCAAACAAAGGTCAAAGTTTCAATTTCCACTTTTCCACTGAGCCCCCTGGGTAGATTCTTATCAGTCTATTCTATAGGATAGCTGTTCTCCATATACAGTAAGATGAAGGGTGACTGAAGACATGTGATCTGGAGTTCCTAAGAAGAAAGGAATGAAATATATAAAAAGGAAAGGGCTGAATCCATCCATCCACCTGGATAGCTCTAATTCCTAATGGGGTTTAGATTTGGGGACATTTCTGAAAAGAAAATGATATATAGGATTACACTCCACAATGTAGCCCTTTACTATTGTTCCCTTCCCCAATTTTGTTGAAGCGCACATTTTTGTAGTCAGGTCATTTTATTTATTCTTGTTCAATTCAAAGTATATCAAAGTATACAATGATCACAAAAAGAGGATAATATGAAAACAAATACATGAAAAGCCATCAGTAGGCACATCACTGGTAAGACATATACTTCCAGTGCTATTCCTTCATCATTCATAATTTATAAAATATATATAATATATAATTTAAATTTAAATTTAAATTTAAATTTAAATTTATATATATATATATATATATATGTTTTATTAAGTTTTCGCGGGTACTTACATGTATGGTATTCAGCTTTGTTCGGGTATTTTCCCATGTCATTATAGTTGTGCTTTTAAAGTTGTAGCAATGTTTTGGCAGAATCTCATCTGCCATCATCAGGCTTCTGTATTGTGTTCGTCAGATATATGTGTGTGTGTGTGTGTGTGTGTGTGTGTATGTATGTATGTATGTATGTATGTGATTAAAATCAATTACCTGGCCTGAATTTGGTTCAACTTCTCCCACCAGAATACTTATTAGCGTACTTTTTCCAGCTCCATTTGGACCTAGCACTCCCAGTATTTCCCCTAAGGAAAAAAATATATCAGAGTCTGCAGTTTTTGCTTGGCAAGATTATCCATCTTTTTTTTTTAATGCTGAGTCCATCATAAATAATTTTAACACTAACCTTTTTTTACACATAGGGATACACAATTAGTTGCCACTTTCTTTATTTTTCTTCCAAGAAGAAAATCACCCTTTTCATCATATTCTTTCTGCAAACAGTGGACTAAAACTGCTGGTTTCTAATGAAAAAAGAATGCAGAGATTACATCTGAGCTAGAATGAATGTACAATGCAAAAACATTACTTTAAATGGACAAAAACTTAGTCAGTAACCTGGTTCTTCTCAATTAGAACATAAAAGTGAATGTACATAGCTAAAACATTTCAGATTTGGGGGGGGATCACTATCTCCCCTCTCCTACACAATCAATATTGAACAAAAATATTCTTTATTTACATTGTGTGGGAAACAGGCCTAATTATGTTTCCCAAGTTGGTTGTGGTTTCTGCCACTAGGAGGTGTGGTCTGAACAATCATAGGAAAAGCATTCTTATTTCCCAGTTCCTGCTATATATCATTGTACAGTGGATCACAAAGGAGCTAAAATGAAGAGATCCTGGAACAGCAACATACAAAATGTACAGAGACAGGATAAATACACTAATAATACTTTGCACAAGAACAGCAACGAACTATTTTTATTTTTCTTGAATGCAGAAAGGAGTGTTTAGGTAATTTTTTTGGGGGGGTGGGGGGTGGGGAGAGAACCAGGCTGGTTTTAGGTTTCTATAAAATGTAACCAGGCCCAGCCTCATAGAATGTCAGTTTCTTCATCAGCTGTTTCCAGGCTACCTAAGCAAATTACTCCCTTTCAATCCTTGTTTGCAGTAAGGAGAGAGCGCTATGTGGGGATGGGAAGATTTACCTCCTCACAGCTTTGACAAGTGATCAATTCTTTAACCCTCAGCCTCTCTGCTGTAACATCTTCATCTTCATTCTCATCGTGCAGCACATCCGGGAGTTTCCGGGGCTTGGGCTTCATAGATGTTCTGAAAACAGTAAAAAGATTCATTCTCTACAATGGTTCTTTGAACAGACAAAAGAAACAGGAAAATGTTCCATGTAATATTTAAAAATAAGGTAAGTCAGCTGCAAGAGCCCTCAAATTAGCCTGTCCTTAATCGTGAAAAAATTCCCAGGGGTCATCATGTGAGGAACAATTCAACACAACAGGAAAAAAAGCTACAGTTGCAAGTCTGCCCCTTTGCTGAAATATCTATCAGGAAAAAGAAAAAAATTCAGACCACATACTGGCAGTGGTTTTCAAACTTGACAGCTTTAAGACTTTTGGACCTCAACTCCCAGAATTCCTCCTCCAGTCATGTTAGCTCTGGAATTCTGGGAGTTGAAGTCCACAAGTCTTAAACTTGCTAAGATTGAAGACCCTTGCTTTAACGTCTAGGAGGCTATATTTAATGAAAGATGTTCAACGGAAAAGGTCAGGAGAAACTAGATCTTACATAAAAATAAATGGTAATGCCCATTAATTCAAATGAAGCTGTAGAACGAGTGATCAACACAAGGATATTTGCAGATTCACTACCAAACAATTCATAAAACATATGATCAGCAGAAGGCATTCACAAATATATTAGCAAAGGACTGGAAAACTGCATTTAAAAATATTGGGAAATGTTTTTTTTTAAAGGGATATAGGGGGTCCTCACTTAACCACCACTTGTTCAGGGATTATTCCAATTTGTGATGTAATCTTTATGATTGGTCCTGAGTTTTTCCCATTGTAGATGCCCAGTTGCATGGTTGCCATTTGCGTTCTTTTTTCTTGGCTTCTGATAAGCAAAATCAATGGGAATGCCACCAGGTAACAAAATGGTGACCAAGTGATGTTCTCGCTTAATGGCCCGCAGTAATTCACTTCATGATGGCAACCTGGAGCACTGGGACTGCTGTTGCTAATTCACATCACATCATGTTTTATGATCATGTCACTTAGCGACGGCAAATCTGGTCCCAATGCCATCATCAATTGAAGATTTGTATTTTTCAAACAGCCATTCTGCTATAGTCTGGAAGCAACACTAACCTACACATTCTTTTTTCTATATCTAAGAATGTGTTTTCCTTGGAATTATATTTTGGATTTTAATTAACAATCCAAGCTTTAGTGCAAGAAACTGACTATTCTTTCCAGTCCTTTTTTCTTTAATACCAGTTCAATACTATAGTTCAGCTATAGTATGTATGTATAGTATATGTTTTCTGGTTGATTTTTTTTTTTTAATCAGATGCAAGGGTATAGACTTCTAAGCAGGAAATCTGAAATATCAAATAAAGCAGTTATGTATGTATGTATGTATTTATTTATTTGGACAAAAAATTTCTTCAAAAGGTATTTGAAATTTATCATTACCTACTGAAATTTGATACTAGGATATTACATTTTCTTATCAGTGATATACCAACCTGAAAAATGGATCTTTTCTTACCGACTTCTCCCCACACTTCATTTCAAGATAACGCAGAAGAAAGAGCCAAACTACACATTGCAAATATGGCTAATATGAAAAAAAAAACACCATGTTAAAACTTGTGCAACGTTGTGCAAAAAACAAGAACAATTTGTAAGCAAGTACAATAGAAACAGACAACTGAAAACCACTGCTTAGAATGCCAGCTGCTTATGATAGGATGTTTTACAAAATAATTCACTGTAGCAGCCAAATACAGGTAGTTACATTCTATTATTTCACTTGTTAAAATCCATGTCAAAGCTGAATAATAGAATTGTGATGGCATGCGAGAATGACCTTGGGCACAGCCTGGGCAATGCCTGATAAGAGGTAGGTCACTCTGCCAATGGGGGGGGGGGGCCTTGGGACCCTCCTTAGTTTTCTGAAGACTAAAAAGAAAAGGGGAGAAATACTTTCAGTCTAGCAAGATTAATTTTAACTCTTTGAGTAGTCCAGACAAGAAACACAATCAAGAGCACCAACACTATATCTTTAGGAGCCGTGGTGGCACAGGGTGCAGTATTGCAGGCTAACTCGGCCCATAGTCTGGAGTTCAATCCTCACAGGCTCAAGGCTGACTCAGCCTTCCATTCTTCCAAGGGGGGTAAAATGAGGACCCAGATTGTTGGGGGCAATAGGCTGATCCTGTAAACCACTTAGAGAGGGCTGTAAATGCACTGTGAAGCGATATATAAGTAAGTGCTGTTTCTATTGCTATTATAAGGTTACATTAGCAGAATCTTGACTGAAGTTATGCCCCCCCCCCTTTTTAGTCTTTGGAAAATTAGGGAGTCCCTTTTGGCAACGCTTTTCTCCCACCTGCTGACTGAGTTGCCTCCTATCAGACTGTAGCCTAGACTGCGGCATCCCAAGGTCATTTTTACCTACCATTGCAAGAACTGTTTCATATTTCAGAAACATGAAATGAAATAAGAGATATTCTGCCCACCCTGAGTAATGCAACTCTGGACAGCATGCCAGAAACAAATATTCTTCAATAATATTTAAATACAGCACTGGAAAGATCGGTCTTTGCTGCTTCTATGCTGGCCTTTGAAGTAAAACTACTTGTATCAGTAGAGATACAGTTATTGCAGCTGGGGAGCGGGGGAAGCTGAAATTATCAGCTTTTTTGAAATAATTTTTCAGGACCAAGCAATAAATAAGAACGCAAATTAAAAAGGTGAATGAAAACCCCAGAAGGTCTTGAAGAAAACTTCTGTTCCTCCAAGTAGCTCATAAGAGCTCTACGTTCTTTTCCCATCCAAGTCCAAAAGCAACTTAAATTGTCTTCATAATATAACTCATTTTTTTTTTCATAATACTACATTTAACACAATAAAGTTGAATGTATGTGCTTTTTATTCCATGTGTAATCAATGTTCCTGCAAAATCAAATAATACTATTACTTTTCTGGGAGAGGGGGAGTGTTCTTCACAATGGCCGAACCAATTTTTAAACACATCACAGTTTTGCACAAATTATAAACAGACTAACCATAAAGTAAACAACACAATATGTTATTATTTCTTGGTGTAACAAAATAGCTGATGTCCTGGATTTTTTATTTAAAAGATGCTTACCGCTACAACAGAAATCAACAATCTTTCTGAATGTTTCTCCATCTTGTTATCCAGTTTCCGCACTATCTAACAAAACAATAAATACTTAAAGCCAAGCTCAACAAACTTTAAAAAATGATACTTAGTATGGCTACTGAACTCTACAAACTATCTGAATGTTTTATCATCTTGAGGGGATTCCAGGTAAACAAGGTAATACTCTTATTTTTAATTCTACTATTTTTCACAGGACACTGTTTATTCAGATGCTTCTTCAAGGAGTGACAAAAATTTCTTTCCCAAATATAGATTGTTCCAAAATATACACATAATTAGGTTATTTTTGTCTAGATGTATCTGACTCATTCTATATATCAGTTCTAAAACACACTCATGTATTAAAAAATACAGGTAGTTCTCGGCTTACATTCAGTGACCATTTGGAGTTAACAACAGCATTAAAAAAATGGGGGGTTATGACAGTTTTTCACACTTGCAACCATTGAAGTATCCGAAACGTCGTGTAATCAAAATTCAGATGCTTGGTAACTGACTCATATTTATGTCCTGAGGTCCTGTGATCCACTTTTGCAATCTTCTGAGATGGGAAAGCACTTAACAACTAATATAAGTATTACTAACTTAAAACTGAGTGATTCACTTAACAACTTTGGCAGGAAAGGATATAAAATGGAGCAAAATTCACTTAACAAATATCTTACTTAGCAACAAAAAATTTGGGTTCAATTGCAGTCATAAATCAAGAACTACTTGTATAACATGCTTTATTATTTCCAAAATCAGTAGAATTTAAAATTACAGTTGAATCCACTCAACTAGCTTTTAATAGATTAGTGATAACTTATAAGTTTTATAAACTATTCTCTGTGATCAATAGTAGTATCAAGATTAATCAATCTTTCTTTTATCGTAAGAAGTGATGACAATAACAAAATGACAGGAAGTGAAGCTAAATTCAGGAAGTATCCAGGACATTCAAATGAGAGGGTTCCCCTGTTGTATACTATCTGATTTGGTTCTAATAAATCAGTAAACGCATTCTGGTGGCAATTCATATTAATTGAAATGGAATGATGCTAAATGTAGTATCTGAATTATATGTTGAAAAAATCTTCTTCGGATCTTCAGCCTGAAGGTAATTTTCTCATGTCTTCATTCTCAGCTTATAAGGAGCACATCATAATCTTATTTAAAATAAAAGGTGGAAGCAATTTAACCCTCTAGTGAAATGACTTTTGCTATCCAAATGCTTTACACACTATCAATATCAAAAAAACATAAATATGATTAGAATGAAGGCAGAATCTTTTAAATATTTTGTTCTCACCTCCCCTGCATTGTAACTTACTGTCTTTCTTAAAATACACGATCTCCAATTTTATGTTTATACAGTATTTGTCTTAAGTGAACAATACTCACATATATGCATATAATTTTATAAACATACAGGTACATATACTAATTTAATTTATGTCAATTTATTCTCCTAGCACATGCCAGAAATAAATTTACTCTTTCAATTTCTTAGAAAACCTACCTTTATAAAAGAAATGAGACACCCAATGAGAGGATAGATGGGAACAAAAATAGAAAAACAAACATGAAGAACAGCAGCTGTTGTATAATACCACATAAAGAAGGCCACTTCGATGACAACAGAACAAACTAAAGCAGCCTGAAAGAAAAAAGAAAATTTAAAATATTAATTTATGTTATTTTTATCCAGTGGCATTCCATGTCCCTGGCAAATAGCATCCAAAACATAGTAGAAAGACATTGTAGCTAACGTATAATGGCATCTCAAGAGTGGCAGGGTTAGCCCTAGCCCTTTGGCAGATTTAAGACTTAGTAATTTAGTAAATTAAGGAAAGTGGAGAAAAGCATTAAATAGCCTGGAGGGAGGGAGGGAGGACAAGCTAATCTGAAGCAGCAGATTATCTGAATCCTTTTCAGTGTGGGTTCAGGATGAGTTATAGTACTGAGATACAGTTATGGCTATATCTTTGAAGGGCTTGAAATGGGGTGGTGTTTCCATCCTGGATTTTTTTGGTGGCTTTCAATACTATTGACCATGGCTTAAGGACTGGCTTAGGGGCTTGAGAATGTCCCGCAGAGCTTCTCTTTCCTCTGTGGTCAATTCCTGTTTGTATTCAGAGGGATGGAGGGAGAGAAGTCACAGGGTGAGATTATTCAGTGGCATGGAGTGCAGCATACTGATGATCCTCAGCTGTACATCTTCACTGAGGCAGGACAAAATGGTGCCACTCAGGTGCTCACTCAGTTCTTGAAGGCTATAAAGTTTCAATAGGGAAGAACTGGTTGCAATTCAACTCTAACAAGACAAAATAGTTCTGGGCTTTTTAGATCCCTCTGGATCTGGACAGTTATCATCTTTTAATCTCAAAAGGGTAGCACTCCTCTGTAGAGTTTGTGCACAATTTGAAAGCCACTGCTTTAGTCATTTCCCATGTATAGTATTGTACATGAAAACCATCTAAATTTCAAATGGTCCTGAATAGATCAGGGCACACAGTTTTGAGCGCTCCAAGATCTGCACATGTTACACCACTGCTATCCAAGCTGCACTGGTTCCCAATCTCCTTCTGGATGTAATTCAAGATGCTGGTTATTATCTTGAAAGCTCTGCATGCATGGGACAGGTTATCAACAGAACTGGCCACACCTGAGAGTATCTGCCTGCCCTGCCAAATCAGATAGGATGGGTGTGTCCCAGACCTCCTCTATTAAACAATGTCACCTGGCTGGATCTAGGAGGTGTGCGTTCTCTGTAAAAATATCTCTCCTTTGGAACAGACTTCACTCCAACATCTGGAAGCCCCTTTCCTCTTGGCTTTCCAGAAGACTGTGAACACCTGTTCTTCCCCCAGGCAATGGGCCAAGACAGAAATTTAAACCAGCACATGTGTAATAGGGTTGTTATGATGTCCTGGCTGGAGTGTGTCATTTTTTAAAAAGTGTTGTGGGGTTCTGGTTTTTTTAATTTTTTTACATGTCTATAGTTGTTTGTTTATTGCTAGCCACCAGGGTTATACTGTATAAGAGTTTTGGGTCATGCAAACAACAAATAAGTTTAACTTACCACTGAAAAAATAAATGACCAAAATTCTTTGGTATTTTGTATGGCATTAAAGCTGAAGGAGACAATATAATTAAACATAACAACGGATGGTATGTAGCCAATAAGGCAAAAAATCTGCAGGTGAAAAGAAAATTCTTAGTTGTTTTTTTAAGATTAGGGATAAAGAAAGTAGTACATAAGTCTAAAGAAACTTTCTAACAGATAAGCTATGAAGCCGCTTAATTCCTACTCCTTTTCTTCTGTTCTCATCTGTGGATATGTGATCTCAGTCTGAGGTATTATTCATAATGGCAGAGGATTAAAGAGTTAAATAGTGTAGCTGATGCAACAAACATGAATTTGGGCAAACTCCGGGAGACAGTGGAAGACAGGAGGGCCTGGCATGCTATGTCCATGGAGTTGTGAAGAGTCAAACACAACTTAGCGACTGAACAACAAAATTCTTTAAAACTCTTCTTGCAGTCACTGATGAAAATACATATTTGTGTAACGCTTTTTGTAGGAACTGTGATAGAAGTACAGAGGATTCTGTAGAGTCCCTATGTTCTCCGAGCTTGGTTGTTTGCTTACACAGTCTGGAAACAATCAAGCTAAGAGGGCATAAGGACTCCACAGTTCAACCCTGAGCTCAGATAGTCTCCTCTTACTGGAACAGAGGATTCTCTTATTAATGAAAATGGCTGGAAAGTAATAATGCAAAACTAACAAAACATGAGGATGTGAAAGAAGTCTATTCTGGCAACAATACTGAGTTTTCACTAGATAAAAACATATCTTGCATAAAGAACCTCCATATGTCTGCAAGAACAATATCATAACCCATTTCCAACAGAAGCAAATTTTTAATTATGCTTCTATTGTTTCCCTACCCACAACTTGATCCTGGCTTAGATTTGGCATACTAGTACATTCATAAAATGAGCCATTCTAATAAATCAATTAAATAAACATTCTTATCACACCAAGCAATAATCAGTCTATTTTTTTTAGAAAATGAATTTGTTTGGAATTTTGCTTCTTAAGATAAACCAATACAGGTTAACTGATAACATGGTTTTCAATTTTGGGGAACGAAAGAAGTAAAAATATTCTTATTCACTTTTATGGAGAGACAGTTTATAATCCAAATGTATTCACAATAAAATGAAAAATAATAGGAAATGTTGTTGTAAAATAGAACTTACCACAGCAAGAAACTTTTCAGGAAAAAAATAAACTCCATGATGAAATACAAATAAACTTCCTACCATAAGAAGAAGAATTATATAAAATAATGGGATATCAATTAGTGCTTGTCCACACCAATAAGCAGAAGGATAAAGTCCAGAGATTTTAAGTTGGGTGTAAGCTCTGATCTGCAAAATAAATAATAGATAGGTCAATAGGTTGGTAGATAACATATCGTGGCAGTAGATCTCATCATTCATCCTGATTTTGCTCTGTTTGTAGCTGATATGTTAATATTAAACATATCTACATGCTATACATGGTGCATTTTTGAAATAGAGTACTGAACCATTATATAATCCTAATGCTGGAAGAATATTAAAGTTTATTAAATGTAATCAACTAAAACATTAAGTTACTGCTGAAAAATGAACAAAACATTGAGACATGAATAAAACTGGATCCAAAACAATTTATCAAGTTTTTAAAAAATAAATTAAGTACATCTTAAAGACTGGAAAAAAATTACAAGAGCAAAGACAGATACAATAGTACATACTAGAAGTGTTAGTAATTACATAGTGCATTAGAATCCTTTGAGTGATCAGCAATTATACAGTAGTTAGGATAGTGATTAAATCTAAATATAGCTATGAGAGTCAGCCAAAATATAGCAAAACTTCTCCTAATGGTGCTTCTTCAAATTTTATCATGTCTACAGTATAGATGTTAATAATTTTGATGCAAATTTCACTAGGAGCCAATTTGCACATTGCTTTCCCATTAGACTTTGCAATGGCACTGATATGTACATGAAATGAAGTTCTATAACAACGTTTTTGGGAGTTTAAAAAATTATAACCCATTGCCTGTTTAGCTTCTCCCTTCTAAATTGCATTCTGACTTGGCTCAATTGTTACACAGGCGATGTTATGTGAGGTCTTCTCTTAATAATCACATGGTCTTTGGGTTATGGTGACAAACTGAGATTTCCATTGCTGA